TCTTTCCTTTCTCCAGAGTGAATTGAGATTCTCTTGGTGTGTTTGACCCTCTGAAGAGCGTTTTGTTTGTTTTGTTTTGTTTTTTGAGACAGGGTCTCACTATGTAGTTGAGACTGACCTGAGGATCACTATGTAGCCAAGGGTGGTCTTGAACTCACAGCGATCCTCCTGACTCAGCCTCCTGAGTTCTGGGATTACTGGCATGTGCCAACACGCCCTGCTGAAGCAGGTTCTACATCACCATGGGGGGAGGTGATAGTTCTTAAGTATCAACCCCAGAAGAATGATCCCCAGAATTTGGCTGGTAGATGGTCACTGAGCATTTCTGACTTGATGGAGACAAGGAGCTGGGGTTCTTGAAAATGCCAGATGCCTGAGAAGTGTTCACATGTATGGGCTCAGCTGGCCTGTGACCACTTGGATATCTAAAGGGTGAATGTTACTGAGCATAATGTGGGTAGAATTAATGGCCTTACACCTGACCTTAGAACTCTGATCTTTAGGAACTGTGATGAAGAAAGCCCCAAACCCTGCGTGGGAAAGGTTAAGGGCAACATAAACACAGTGAAAGCTAGAGGGCCCATCTCCAAAGGCTGGAGACTAGAAAGTGTGATGGGTCATTTGTGAACTGGAGAACCGAGAGTAATGACTGCTGTTGGGCTTTCTGCCACTCTGTCATTGGGAATCACAGGTAGTTTTTACTTGATTTAGACAAATGAAACGATGCAGCGTTTCTTGGGAGCCAGGGTGGAATAAATTCTCACTGAGTACATTGATAAACAACAAGTATGGTCAGGCCATAGTGCATAAGGAGAGTCAAAACTGTTCTTATTCCCTCTGGGCGAGAGGGAGAGTCTGAGACACACAATTTATTAGTTATGGAGTGTGAATCCTGGAATCAGTGCAAGAGTAGAGTTGTTGGTTCCTTCAGTGCATCTTGGGACCCTAAGGCAAGTTACTAAACTCTTCTGATTGTATTTCTTTAACTGTAAGGTACAGATACGAAGCGAATCTCTCACAGAGTGTTGTTGGTCATAAAAGTTAAGGGATAGAATCATATCTGGCTTACAGAATCAGTCAATTGGTAGCTGTCGTTATTAACACAACTGTGGTTGTATGGCAGCTGTTGAAGGAAGCTTTGGCTTCCCCAGCACAGTTTCTAAAGATCAGTGTGGGGAGGTCAGTATGTGAGGCCATCAGCTCTACTGCATTATTCTCAGCCATGCTCACCACAGAGGGATCTGGAGTGCTTAAGGGCCAATCATATGTTGGCTTAAAAACAACTTTTGGCCAGGGATTTAGCTCAGCGGTTCGGTGGCCTGCCTTGCAAGCGCAAGGACCCCAGTTCAATCCCTGGTACAAAAAAAAAAAAAAAAACTCAAAAAACAAAAAAAACAAAAATAACTTTTGACGATGGCTATGCATTTTCATGGAGATGATCTGAACACAAGGAGCTCTGCCATGTTGGGAAACAGCCAAGGAAAAGATAGGGAGATAGGGCATTTGGGGAAAATTTGAAGACAACAACTTTTTCTTTGGAGGTAGTGGTAAAAGAGAAAGGGGAGTGAAAAATTTGGAAGAATGGAAATATTGAAACTTCATTTATCATTCACTTTAGGGACCTAAATACACTTTATTCTTTTAGAAAACTAAATAATTTGTCATAAATTTTTCTGTTTGCTTTCCCCCTTTGGAGATTTAAAAGTACTGGCAGTGGATAAGGGCAGAAACCACTAAACATTTGGAGAAGCATTTTCTTTACTGTTTTCCTGTTTTCTTGAGAGGTAAAAACAAAGCAGAACAAAAATCTTGTTTAGAAACATCTTCTATCACATTGATTTTTGGGGGCCCTTAATCCTGGAATCTGCATAGGATCATTTTACACCTCGTTTTTGCTTTCTCTATAGTACAATTCAAAATATTTTATTTAGATTAAATTTAATAGAACCTAACTTAGTTCTTTCGTATGAATTGGGTGGATGTGACCAAATAGGCTTAGTCATCCTGGGGACACAAAGGAGCAAGTGGCACATCTTTAGCCCTGGAGAGACGTATGGCCTACATGGGCAGCACAGGCTCAGCCAGTGACTGGGCCAGCAACACAGATGCAGTGGGAGGAGTCACAAATATGGCATTCTACCATTTCTCCTCTCTACCTGACGTTCTTGTGTGCTTCCTGATACTTTTTCAAAGTGATTATATAATCATCAAAGAAAACTGAGGGACGTAGAAAAATGTGAAAACCTTTCAGGTGAAAGGAAGCAAGTTGTGAATCTGCATGCACGTTATGATCCTCATTTTCTATATGTGTGTATGCAGCTAGATAGACAACGTGGCTTGTGTCTCAGTCTTGACTTCAGTCCTCAAATTAAATGATAAGAACTCAAATATTCTCGGTTTATGAAACAATGTGCTAAGCTGTCAATTAAGCACTTACAAAGGAAACATCACGGAGCTGTTTCAGCTTTAGCATATCTCCCACCTCTACAAAAGGGTTGCTAAGAATTATTAGGAGGCTGAAATACATAGGAAACTGCTTTGGAGAGAATTATTGCAGTCAAATACTTCTTTTTTACTATGAGCAATGTGTATCAGTCAACCATTACCATAATGCTGTGTAACAAATAATACCACAATCACATTAAATTGTGACAGTAGACATTTATTTTCATGTATTTGCAGGTCAACTGCAATTCAGATAATCTCATCTGGGCATTTCTGGGTAGTTCTACTTCAAACTCTGATTTCATCAGCCTTGTTTCTAAGTGCAGGTTGACTTCAGGTCTATTCCATGTGTCTCATCATCCTAGAGCAAGGGCATGGTTTTACAGTGAGATCAGCAGTACAGAAATTAGCTAAAGTTTGTTATGCCTCTTGAGATCCTGATATACAAATCACATGATTTTGCTTCTTTTGTAATTGATAGGCCCAAACAAGTCATTAGGCCAAGCCCAAACTCACCCTGATATGGAGAAATAAACTCTATCTTAAGTGAAAGATATATTTGTTAAAACAATTTTACAGAGAAAAATAACAGTAACTTGATACATTTCTCTTGTAATTTAGGTACTCTAAGCACTATCACCTGATCTGATATAGAAACTTTATAATAGAGGATTGTTTTGGGAAGACATGGTAGTTGTAGAATTGGGATTTAATATTTACAAGTTTGTGTTTCTGGTAAGCCAGAAATGGAGTCCATGGAAGGTTGCTACTCATGGGCTATCTTGTCAAAATTCCAGAGAAGAGGACTTCCTGGAGAGGTGGTGATCAAAGGAGATAAAGTCAGGGGCTAACCGTAGTCACACATGGCCAGCTTAGAGGGGCTCTAAAGTACCAGTTATTGTTTCTTATTTCTCTGTATCAAGCAGGGTTCAGTCAGAGAAACGGAACTACCATGAGTCATGTAGAATGAAGGATCAGATCTTGTACCACTCTGGGAGCTGGTGGAAAGTTCATGCAAGGCTGGTTTGGCTCTGAGGTCACAATAGGTCCACTGGGCCGGTAGTTGGGAGGACAGATGAACAGGAAGTAAAGAGAGCAGGGAAAAAGTGGAAGCCACAAGTTTTGTACTGGAAGACGTGCCAGATCCCCCAACCTTTGTCTGTCTTCTACCAGGACTGCTGGTACAGTGACCCAGTGTCCATCACTATAGAGCTACCTATGCACCAGAGAGAGCTGCAGGAGAGGAATCCTAGTGCTGCTCTGAGCCAACAAAGTAGCTGGAAGATCAGTGACTGTGTGCAGTGCCTGGTACCCTACACTGAACATGAAGGTGCAAAATATGGCTACTGTTTCACCATGGCTTCTATGTCATGTGCATTTTCTTTATAGCCTCTCCACTCTAGAACCTCAGAAAGATGAAACTCTCGGAGTTAAGTTCCCACTTAGCTATGCTGATGCATTACAAAGCCACCACACATTGTGATTGCTGAGCTACAGAGTGGGTTGAGAAGCAGGTCAGAGCAAAAAAAACTAGCCTTCAAATTGCTGCATCCTTCTCTGCTGACTTCCCCAGCCCATAGCAGGTGTGAGCTACTGGGAGGAGGAGCTTCGGACTGGATGAGGCAATGCCACACTCTGCTAGCTGCAACAGTGACTTGAGAGAGGGTACAAGTTAGAGGGGATTTCTGGCTTTTTGCTAAGAATCTAGGGTCATACAATGAGGAGGAAAGGCAAGGGAGTGAAGCAACACAGGTGCTTTGGGCCATTTTTCCTTTTGTCCAATTAGAGAATTAACTGCGCGTGTGCGTGCGCTTGTGTGTGTCTGTGAGTATGCATATTTTTAGATTTAGTGAAGCATGCAGCTTGTTGGGTTATTAACATCAAAGAATTTCTCCCTAGTCCTTATTACTAATAATGCTACATTAAATTTGTCTTGTCCGTAGTGTAGCAGATTCTATAATTTCCTATTCCCTTTAGGTATAAAACCTTCCAGTTTTAAAGACTAATCCCATCTCTTCCCCAGTAGTACTCATGCTTGAGGCCTGGAGGCTGTGGGTGAGGGGCGATCCCACCTGTGGTTTTCCTGTCTTTCCCCATTTTTCCTCTTGGACCTGTCCTCTTTGCTCCTTCAATGCGCAATAGGCCTATAGGGGAGTGGGGAATGGAGGAGGAGGGAGGCAGGCATGAGCACCACTTACCTGGCTGCTGTTGCAGAGCACTCTCTTAAATCTTATTGTTCCTTTGGTTCACATCGAAGGGTCCTAACGTTTCTCCCCATGGTGAATACCATCTCTGTGCTCTTTTGTGGCTCTCTCACAGTAGATGTATTGTCAGTTTCCTAAGGTTCTTCTTCAGGGGCCTCCCAACTGCAGAAGATCCAACTCTGACCATTTCCAGTGTTCTCACAGATACTTCCTTGATGATTCACTCATGCCACTTGCTGCTCAGGTTCTTGCCTGGCAGGCTGCTCTCTTAGTGGAGTCAGGACTGGCTCTAGTTTACAGGGTCCTCTGGCCCTCTGCAATTTTGACACCTGAGTAAGCAAGCTGATCTGTCTGTGGGCGCCCTCTCTGTCTTACTTTCTCTCTGTGGCTCTATTTTCCTACCTAGGGAAGAACAGAAGGAAGCAATAAGACCATTGTTAAGTAAAATGCACAGACAAGGAATGAGGTGACAATATTTTCGTCCAGAAAGTGTTCCCCAAAATTATATACATATCATCTCTTGAAAAGCTCTTTCCGTATCTCATAGATCCCCGATTTAGCTGTTGGGTGTGCCGTAGCCCAGCATTTCCACTCAACAATCCTAAGTTGTCCTTTCTCCTCTCTTTGGTCTTCTTTTATAGAGGAGAATGTATTGGTGGAAGTGTTGGTAGCATTATATTTTAAAAAATTACTTTACTGAGGTATGACTGGCATGTAAAAATCTATACTTAATGCATACAGTTTGATACATGTGGGGATAAGTATACACCCATGAAACCATCACCACCACCAAGGCCATGGACATATCCATCACTTCCCAGTTTCCTCTTCTCAGTTTATTATTATTATTTTGAGTACATAGTAGAATGCTTGACATAAGATTTTTCTTCTTAACAAATTTTAAATATTCAATACCATAATGCTATAGGTGCTTTGTTATTGTATTTGTCTTTCTGAGTCTGGCTTTCTGCCTTTTCTGTCCATAATAGACAATAGTGTCTATTACAAGTGTCTTAAGTGGCTCAATTTCCTTTTTGTTTTTGGTACCAGGGATCAAACTCAGGACCTTGTGCTCTTGAGGCAGGTGGCGGAACCACTGAGCTAAATCCCCAGCCCCCAATTTCCTTTTTAGAGGTTGAATAGCATTCTATGAACCACACTATCTTTAAATATCCATCCATTTGGATCATTTCTAAACCTTGGCTTTTCTAGTACCACAATGGACATGAAAGTATAAATATCTTTCTAACACACTGATTCCATTCCTTTCATAAATACTCAGAAGTTGGGTTGCTGGATCATATAGCTGTTTTTTAAGATTTGAGGAAGGCATTTGATATGATTTAGAATGTGATATGACACTTACTGCCTCCTTATTTATAGTGTTATCTGTCAATTTTTGGATACTAAGAAAAGTTCTTTTTAGGAAAGGTTACTTTTTATATATTTACAGTAACACACACACACACACACACACACTCGCGCACGCAGATCCATACCCCTCAGTCAAACAGAGGCAGAGATACAGGCTCTTCAAACTCTGTCATTATGTGGTAAGATTAGAAATTATTTGTACTTTCTCCTCTGTTCTTCTCTGCATGCTCCACCTTTTCTGCTATGAAAGCATATCCCTCTTAAAATAAGAAAATGAAGTACAATAAACATGATTTTGAAAATACTTCTGAGCGGTGGCACCATCCCACTGATGGACCAGATGTGAGGGCAGGGCCTCAGGTTTTCTGACCTCCCAGGGCTCTCTGCAGGCTCATGATTTTATAAAACATCAGCTGTTCTGAATTCCTGCAGCACCTGCCACAACAAAGGGAGGCCTTTGCTTAGCATACTAATGCAGTTGTACATGCCTTCATGGAACAAAGAAACCCAAACGAGGAGGTCAGTCAGCCTCCCTTGGACACTGTCTACTCTATACTTGCCTGAGCCCTCTGAGGGAGGTGGAAACTCACCTGCAAAAGGAGATGGCCCGCTTTGAGTGAGCTCTCACCATCTCCCTTTATCCTCAGTGGTCTGCTCCCTTCCTTTTGTGGTCTCCTGTCTCTCATTTGGCTCACACTTCGGCTACTGCCTCAATCTGAGGATGCATTCAGCATCTACTTCTCCGGCTCTCCTTAAATCTCTCATGGACCCAACTCTGACCCAGCACATCACAGCTGTGCCTAAGAGACAGTTTGGCTTCCCGAGAGGCCAGGGCTACAATAAATGGGCTACCACTCAAAACTATTAGCTTCTTCCTGTCAATTTTCTCTGACTCCCTGATGGTTTTTTGACAAAGTTATCAGCTCTCTGCTTGGCTTCTCTGAGACAGGACTTGCTGATGTGCATTTCTTCACGTTACAGTATCTGTTCAAAGCTTAGCTGACTTCTGCCCATTCTCCCCAGGTGGGAAGGTTAAGGAAGGAGAGTACTTTCTTTTCCTCCCCCAACTAGTCTGCATCAAGAGGGGAAGGCTGGCCGGTCACTCACTGAGACAAATTCATGAGTGGGTGAGTTCACTGTGCTTCCAGCTTCTCTGTGCTTGAACACAGTAGGCTCTCTTCTGTCTCTTTCTTCAGTTAAGGGTCTTCCTTGCCAAAACGTAAGTGGGTGCACACTGTACACTGTTTCTACTTTTGCCAGTAGGGTCTTTCATTCTTACCTCTACAATTGTTTGGCTAAAAGCACCAGGCGTCTTTCTGTCCACCAGTTATGTATCTTTCCTTCTTTTCCATCAAGCCTAAGCCATGCCCCTCAATCCAGCTTGTATCAGGGTTCCACACTGAAATTGCTACCTCTGCACCCAGTAAGTGTCCATTTTTCTTTGGGTATAGATGTCAAGTGAATGTGAAAAGCAAGGCTGGATGCTACCTTGTAGAGGCTGGGCATTGGGCAGACAGTCCATGTTCGGGGAACTCCGTACCTTTCCACAGATTGATCTTAGAATCAGCTACAGTTTATTCCCCTACTTAAATTCTCCTATTGGTCTACATCAAGGTGGTGCTGTAGGAACTTGATGCTCTTGTAGTAATATGGAAAGAATTTTCCTACTTTGTGGTCCAGAATCAGCCTGCTTCTAGTCGAACCACAGGAATTACACAAAGACTTATTAGTGCTCCTGTGAGCAAACTAATCACACTGTGCACTATGTCGAATTCAACTGACCAGAAGAGAAGTGGGAGTTTGCCATCCTTTGCACTCACTTTAACAAAGCCTGCGGTATTCTTGTGGGAGCTGATGAAGATTATACAAGACTGCAAGCTCAATAATGTGGCTCTCTCATTATCCTATTCCTTGTCACTAGGGGAAAGTAGTCCAAGACATTGTGGAAACTTCAGCCTTTCTTTTCTACTGTCTGGTGAAAGGAAGTCAGGAAAACATTACAATATTTTTCTTTAAGAAGGAGGCAATATGACTTTGTCTTATTCTTCACCTTGTGTTCACTCACTAGTTCAGCATAAATAAAATGTGCGCCGTTTGCCAGTCTGGTGCTAGGCATCTTTGGGAAGCCAAAAATGGTGGTAGCATCATTTTCACCAGAAGCATGTTGTAGGAAAAGAATACATTCTGAGAGCTGGGACTCTGTCTTATTCAACAGTGTGTCTCCATGATCAGCAAGAGAAAGGTGGCACTTTGTAGAAGTTTGAAAAGCATTTGTTGTCTTGTGCAGACATCTGATATGATAAAACAAACCCGAGCATGTGTGTGTGCATTTCTGTGACTGTATTCCACTAAAAGAAGTAATTAAAAATTTTATTAAAACATGGGACCCCATTTCTCTTGTTCTCTGCTGGACTGGCAGAAATGACTACTCCTATTCTTTCATCTACTGTCTTTTTTTTCCTCCTCCGATGTCACAGCAGAAACCGCAGTGTGCTATAAACTTACCTCCATAATGGAATGTAGATGCATAAATCAAAACAGCTTCTAACGGGTTGTCTGCAATAATAAGTGCTACGGAGGCCGCCCGACTGGCAGTGTAAGAGAGATTATACAAACCACTGCCTGGAGAAAACACAGCATCACGAATAAACTCAGCCTTGAATTATTTATATATTTTAGGCATTATTTTTCTCTCCTCAATACTGCAAGGCCTGAGAATGATTTTCATCAAGAGTCGAGAGTGCCTGGATTTGACTATAAAATAAAAAGCCTCACAGTTAGCCTCTGGCCCAGGTTGAGGGTGAGGAGTAGTCTGTTCTATGGGAATCACAGGGGACAGTGAAGTGCAGGGAGGAGGTACTGCTAAGTCAGGGGAGGGTGGTTCCGGCACCTGGCATCAGGAGCTCTGACAGCCACCTCAGGGCCGAACAGCAGGAAGGAGAGGCTCATGGCCTGGCTCTGCCGCTGCTGCCAGGGGGGTCCAGCTTCATTTACGTTTCTATAGCAGATTTCAATGTAAGATTTGGGTATGGAAAAGAATGAGTCTATCATAGAAGATAAAGGTTGGAAACCACTGGCCATGCTGATCTCTGAGCCACTATTCAAATGGCTCTCCTGTGGGCCACCTTAGTCTCTGCATCCACTATTAATGGGTGCCAGACCCTCTTTGGTTTACAAAGAAAGTGAGGCTCAGAGAGGGAAAGTAACTTGCCCAAGATCATGCAGTCCTGCGAGTTGGAATGTAGGAGAAGGTGTTTCCTATTTATCCTTGAAGGATCAGGATGGTGTCTCCAGGCTTCATGTCACTTTGAGTGCCCCTCAGAGATGACTAGAGGAAGTCAGAGCACATGCTGGGACAGGAAGTTAATGTTGCCCAAAGCATTGGACCAGCACAAGCCAGGGCCTAGGGTGAGCACACTTGTGTGCACACACATGCACACGCACACTCAAAGTATTACAGGTAGATGAGACTAACTAGGCCCATAGACCCCTTATGGGGAGGATGTGGTTTGCCTGCCTGCTGTGAGACTCCATCCTTCTGATTCCTCTTCAGGAACCTTTAAGCTCACCCACTCAGATACCTCCACCGGGTGCATTTTCTTGAAATCCCAAGACCGAAGGGAAATTACACCCAATTTTGCCAAATGAAATCTCACGTGAATCAAGACCTGCTTTGAGATTATTTATTTTACAGGTACCTTGGCTCATCCAGCTCACATTTCAAATTTTGGAGCCTCAGCTCCTCCCATAAGCAAGCTTTGTGCCTACAGTAGGTGAGGGGAGATTTGTCATGAAAATATTACAGTCCTTTCCACTTCCTTGCAGTTGGTACTTTTTGAAGTTCCTTAGCAACCGTTCTCATGTAGTCCTGCCAAGAGTTCTCTCAGCAGCTAGTGAAGTTGACATTATCAACCTATTTTGAAGGTAAACTGATTTTGATTCAGAAATCATTGGCACCATCAAGGTCTCCTGGGGCCTCCATGTCACTTCCATGGTAACGGGATGTTGTTCAGTGTTGGTGAGCGCTA